TATTTATTTAGGATGTGGCAATGGAACAGCTATGAGTTGCAGCACTGATCTCTGTGAAACTAGTTCTTGTGAAGGATATGATAATCCATTGTGTGAGATTGATTCTTGTTCTAATTGTAACGTTAAACATTTCGATGGGTTAAGAGATGTCACTAATCAATGTGGTAAGTTTCATTGTCCCACAATATTTATCTATTGCACTAGCTGGTATGTCATACATTTACAATCACAACGACTGTCACACATTGTTTTCTAATAGTATTCTCAAATTCTAAATCCTTACTTTGTTTTACCATTAAATGAATGCCTGTCTTAACTATTAAGTTTCAATTATTGGGCGAAACCTTTAGCGATGAAGTGTGTTTGTTATCGAGATAGGGTCGTCTAACTATTATTAAAGTGAAATAGCCTAATCTTCATTGAAAGCAGGTGTGATCACAATGTCATACAGCACAACAATATAGCATGGCTTGGGGGCCGAGCCCTTTTAAATTCTTTTAGTTATTTTGCATATCTCTGGTTGCCAGATTGATTAGATGCTTGAAATATGCTCAATTTTTTGTACTATTTTTTGACATTTGAGTCAGGGATCTGTTCCCTTAGATTTGTTGTCTTTTTCCCAGGTAAAAATTTGTTGCAATCCTATTCTTTATAGGCATTTGTGATCTTCCTAAGGAATCTGGTCCATGCTTTGCATATTTTGAGAGGTGGTATTACAATGGAAGGTCAGGTCTCTGCGAAAAATTCATTTATGGTGGCTGTAGAGGTAATAACAACAACTTTATGACACTGAGTAATTGTCTACAGACTTGTGCTGAAGGTAAATGACAGTGACACAACTCACAACATCTTATATGGCAAATTTAGCTCTCGTTAATTACAATTCTTGGTATATTACTTACCTAATTTGTATGATCCAGCAAAAGCAATAATATTATTAATAATAATTCTATTTCAAAGGTGATAAAACATGTCCTGGAGGTGTGAAAATTGTTGAGTGTTATTCTGATCCTTGTGTAAATTCTCATTGCCCTAATTATGAAGATGCTGTTTGCATACCTAACCATTGTG